AATAACAAACCTGTGCGAGCAATCTATTAGCAGTATTTGTGACACAATCCTCCATTACATTTAAGACCTTCTGAAGCTTATCTTGGCTACATTCCCTAATTCACTGCCAGTACTGAAAATCTATAGTTCATGTAACGTATACTATAGCATTTCAATGCTGTCAGTGAATTACAGAACGCAGCCCTTGAGACACTTCGTAGCCAATGAAATAATCCGTGCAACATTTGATTAGATAGTTCAAGCAGTGCAATTCCAAACAACAGACCTCATGACTTCCCACCGAAAAGAAACGTGCGGTTCAAGGATCCGATATTTATCAAAGGTAATCCTTCGAAATCCTTCAAATTTACAATTGTATCTGTCTTTATACTTAAATCCTTTTGCCATTCAATGTTTAATATTTTCTGTGCGATTTGTATAACTAAGAATATTTTAATATAATTTACTCTATCCTAACCTTATGTTTTGCTGGAAAATTATAATGTTAGTAATAAATGTGCTACATCTTGTACTTCAATGAACATTAGGATTTTAATCAATCACATTTTATGTTTAGGTTTACAACGGAATTGACACAATATTCGGACTGTACCAGTAGTACTTGGTTGTTGTCTTCCGTCTTCACACAATTATCGCCATAGAAATTATCTAATTTTATGAATTACTTGCTGGTAAACTCCTCGATAAGGTATGTTCAAGTAATGATTACGATTCTTTGAAAAATTGAAAACTAGAAATAATATAATAAGCAAATAACCAAACCTGTGCGAGCAATCTCTTAGCAGCATTTGTAACACAAAGGCAATAGATGCACACAGTATGTATTAATTAGGTTTTTATGGCAGATTCGTGGTATATTGCGTGCAGAGCCTGCTAATAGACGTTAGCAAGATCTGCATTCTGCCATCAAGCTGCTGTCAGAGCTGTCATAGATTGTGTTAGCATACTCTGCCGGCAGTCTAACAGCAGATTGTGGACACAGATGTCTGTGGATCTGTCGCCAATCTGACGTTAGTATGGTGCACTGATTGTTTCAGATTTGAGGGTTTCATGGTCGGTGAATTTTCTTCATTGTAATAGTTTCCGGTTGAGTACCGCGTCCTGAAACAGTTTTATGTCGACGTTTCGCTAACATTGCAGTTTGCATCTTCAAGGCTGAGGAGTCCTGATATTGAATTTTCCTCTTTCGTGAGTGTGCTTAGGTATCCCTTTCCTTGTGTTGAAGAAAGAAGAGGAGAGAATAATTAATATCAAAGCTCTCAGCTCTTAAGATGCAAACTGCAACGTTTCTGAAACGTCGATATAAAGCTGTTCCAGGACGCAGTACTCATCTGGACGCTACTACAAAGAAGAAATAGGATATGATGTTTCTTTTTTAATCTACACGAAATATCTTTGTAATAAAATCATTGATATTCATTCAAAGATAAAATTAAAAAATATAATAGTTTAAAAGATATTTCATACTCTGGCATAATTAATATAATAATATTAAATATTAAATATCTGGAATAATTTCACTTTTTCATATATTCGATATTCGATTTTCGTATTTTTATATGTGGAAGAACTACATATTATTTATTAAATATTTTGCCTTTATATCATGAAATTTTCATCATTTGTATGTAGGTTTCAAACGACATATAATAAAAAAATTAATAATGCCGAAAAGAAAAAGATATAACGATTTGAGTCGGTCTCAACAATGGCGTCGGCGACAAAATATTGATTGTGCAGTACATACTATTGATACAGGCGATACATATAATATTAATTTAGACATTGAGATTCCTCATGAAATGTCTAATGACAATATTCTTATTGAAGAGAATAGTAACAATTATTTGAATAATAATAATATATATATGTATGGAGATGTCGAAGAATGCAATCAAAGAATTGATTCTTATTCAAATTGTAGTTATTCAGAATCTGATATGGAATTGATTGCCGAATGCAATAATCAATGTTATAAAGATTTGAGTTTTAATGTACAGAAAGAACTTGCATTATACAAATTTCTTCGGACATGGAGTCTTGAGTATAATATTACTCATGTGGCTCTAACAAAATTGCTTCAAGGTCTCAAAATCAATGGATATGAAAAGCTTCCTTGTAATGCGAGAACTTTATTGGGAACTCCGAGAACAACATCAATAATTAAGAATCATTCTGGTACTTTTTATTATCATGGATTGCAGACAGCATTGAAGAATCATTTACGATATAATAAACCTCTCCATGAACGTTGTGAAAATGAAATTAAAATCAACTTAAGCATTGACGGACTACCATTGGCAAAGAGTTCTAAATCGCAATTTTGGCCACTTTTAGGGCAAATTGTCCACGTTCATTATAGAGAAAAACCTTTTGTCATTGGAGTATTCCACGGATATTGTAAGCCGAAGAAACCGAATGAGATTATTCATCAATTTATTGAAGAATATAGTGAAATTCAAAATAAAGGATTCCAATATCGAGGAAAAAAATACAAAGTTTTAATAAATGCTATAATATGCGACGCCCCGGCAAAAGCATTCATGAAATGTATTAAAAGTCATACAGGATATTATGGATGCGATAAATGTGAAGAGGAAGGTGAATGGAGGAACAATCGAATGTTATTCCTTAATGAAAATGCTCCATTACGCACAGATGCAAAATTTTTATTACGACATAATGAAGATCATCATGTGGATAATTCACCTTTTGAAAACATTGGATTGAAAATGGTAACACAGTTCCCATTAGATTATATGCATCTTGTTTGTCTCGGTGTCATGAAAAGACTTATAAATATGTGGATCCGAGGAATAAAGGGCATTAAACTGCGTGCTTCTCAAATTGATCAATTATCTATAGATTTAAAGCAGTTAATAACATACATACCTAGAGAATTTTCTAGGAAACCAAGAGGTTTAGATGAATTAGATCGCTGGAAAGCGACAGAATTTAGACTGTTTCTCTTATATACTAGTCTATCAATTTTATGGTCATATTTGCCAAATGATTATTTGAGACATTTTTATGTTCTACATTGTGCAATTTATATTCTTTGTAATCCTGCCGATTGCGAATACAATAACGAATATGCACATGAATTATTAGTACATTTTGTACAAACATTTAAAATGTTATATTCTGAGAACTACGTTACATACAATGTACATAACTTGGTTCATTTACATGTTGATGTTAAGAATCATGGGTGTCTGGACATGTTCAGTGCTTTTCCATTCGAAAATTATTTTCAAGAAATGAAACGAATGCTACGAAAAAATGCACAACCGTTACAACAATTGCACAGACGATTAATGGAAAAATGTCAAACTGTAAGAAATATTGGGTATAAACCTGAAGAATATCCCATTCTTCAAAATGCCAAGAACGAAGAATTATTGTTTGGATGTACACAATCTCATAAAGAAATAATATTTGAAAAATTTACACTATCCTGCATCAAAGAAGCCGATTCTTATTGTTATATGAATAACAGAAATGTTCTCATGATTGAATATATTGGAAAAAAGAATGGAGAAACAGTAATACTTGGAAAAAAGTTAAAAAATTTCGATAATATATCTTCATATCCATGTGATTCGCGAAATTTGAAAATCTATGTCGGAAATGAATGGTCTGAAATTGGAATGTATCCAATAAGTCAAATAAGCGCAAAAGCAATGCGACTTCCTTACAAAGATACATTTTGTATAATTCCTATTCTACATACTAATGATTGAAGTGAGTTGTTATTTTTTATAAAAACAACTGTAATAATTTATAAATAAAACTAGTAATTTATAAATTGTATTATATCATACATAAATATATTATATTATACAAATAATATTGTTTAATCCAATTTGTAATTATGATAGATATTTATATAAATAATAAGTTTTATATATATAAATATTTTTTAACAATAAATTATGACAAGTTTGAACCATAATTTGGATGCTTTAGGATAGAAAATCATAATAATTATGAGTGAAATTATTTTCATTTATTCTCTTAAATACTTCATCATTACTTAATCAGTATTTATTGTTACAGATGTATTACGTCGTATTTTGGGACGAATACTGCCAAGTCGTTCCCGATTCTTGGGTAAACTTTAATGCAAAAACATTTACGTTTCCATTGTCTAAAAAAAATATTACCAATACAATAAAGAAGAAGATAAGTCCTGGAAATGATTGGAACATCAGTCATTTTCATAAAATTTTAGGACCTTACAATACATTTGATAAGGCTCGGGAAGCAGAAAAATCTTGTATTGATATATCCACTTCGGATGATATTCAATTTGCTTCTTTAAATGAACCAATCCAAACATTGCCTCTGAAACGTTTGATAACGAAAAAAAAATTTTATGACGATGAATCGAATAATTACGTGAATAATTGTAAGTTTCAAATTCTATTACAGCAAATTACAAAATATAATATGATAAAACGTAAAGTAGCACATTGAAAATGAGTAACAAAACTAATTTACTAATATAATTATATACTATATATAAGTATATAATTATAAAGATAAGTATATAATTATAAAGATAAGTCGTAAATCGTTGAAAAAACTAATTTTCTATAAAATATAGGTAATATTTCCAAGAAATATAAATCAAATCAACATCCCCCATCAAATTATAAAATACACGAAGGGATTGGAGCTACATCTACAAATGTTGAACTTGAGAAAAATTCATTACATTTTAGATCAGTGAGTTCGGAATATAACGTGCAGAAGCGGGTGAGTACTACAAATATTAATGATTAATATATAGAGAAAAATAGCGCTAATTAGGACGTGCTTTTATTCAGACATCGATTATTTTTTAATAATTTATAATTGGAATAATCGTAACTATCAATACATAGCTGCAAAATAGACATTTCACACGCATTTCTATGTTGTTCAGTGAAACAAAATAGTAGCATTTGATAAAACCATTTATATATTTATTACAATACGTGAATAATTATTACTTAATTAATAGTATTTTATATTTTTATTTATTTATATGTAAATATAGATGAGAGTTGAATAAATTCGGACAAAAATCGTTATTTAATTTATAAATACATACATAAATATATATTTGTACACACACACGTATATGTTAGATTTACACACACATACAATTTGTATATTAATATACTTTGAATTCCAGGAGGAAGATAAAATTTTATCCGTCAAAAATAATCCATCTAATTGCAATGTCCCTTCACCTTTAAATGAACACCAATTTTCAATTCAAGTTTTTCATGAGGATGAGCAAGATGATGAAGAGATGACGGATGATACTAATTCTCGTGATTATGATCGGAACATCGATAATAAGGAAAATGAGATAATTGGTAATGGTAATGACAAATTATATAGCGGTATACTTTTTGTCATGGCATATATTATATAAAGTTAGTTGAATAAGTAAATTCAATAATCTGTGAACCTATTTCTATTATTTTATTTAGCGATGAAGGCTCTCCCAATTACAGAAATGAATGTAGACGAGGATATACATGTAATTATAAGTAAGATACATTTTTCTTTCATATAGATGAATACTTTCTTTCATATAGATGAATACTAATTGATTGATCATACTAATGAATACTAAACAGTGAAAATAGTAAATCATTTCTAAAAATTTGTAAATTTTAGTAATGTATTGTTTTAGTATTGTCATCATATATAATATAGTTATTATTATATTTCCAAAATACTTTTATCGTATATTGTAGTGTACAAAGTTATTAATAACATTAAAAAATTAGTCTCTGAAGATGCTTACAGTAAAATATGAATGATGAAATATAAATAGTTCTTCTTGCAGGTTCTTTATATGAAAAAGTAGATACTTTACATCAAGACTTTCAACAATTCAAAACAGAGATAAAACACGAAGCAGCTAAAAATAACACAAAATTGAAAGAAATAGTTGCTATTTTAAGAGAAAGTTTCCAAAGAAATGAAGAAAATGAAGCAATAACTATGGATTTAATGCCTGAATTTCCAATGACATCCGTCGAGGAATACGTACAATTTAATGAAACATTGAAAAATGATGAAGCAATTCGTAAATGTTTTGTAAGTATATTTTGAATAATGTGCAATTCAATCAGTGATTCATTGACTGATATGAAGAAAGTATTTATATTCATATGTGTGTGTGATATATATATATATATATATATCACACACACATATGAATATATTGAATAATAAATATTTTCTTCATATCAGTCAATGAATCACTAATTGAATTGCACATTATATATATATATGTGTGTGTGTGTCTGTGTGTGTGTGTGTGTGTATGTGTGTGTGTGTGTGTGTGTATACAGAGTATTTGTTAACTAAAGGATCATATTCAATGGAGGCATAGAGCTGATTAAGATAAACAAAAGTCAAATATCTTTTTGCAAAAATCATAAAAATTACTGAGTAATGCATGAATAAAAATCGTGCATCGCAGCGGTAGTAAGAGGTGCGTTTGGTCGCTGAAGCTCGCATATCGAATCAAGTCGTCTAGCAATAGTTATCGGCGCGCGGCAAGAAGAAGAAAGGATTATTTCTGCACATTTTCCCTTCTGCTTGTCACGTGCCGGTAAGTATCGTTAGATGATTTAACTCGATCTGCGAGCTGCAGAGACCGAACGTGAGTTCTACAACCAATTTTTGTTCATGCATAAATCGGCTTTTTTTTTATTTTTACTACATGATATTTGACTTTCTTGTTTATCTTAATCAGTTCTATGCCTCCATTGAATATGATCCCTAAACAAACACTCTATATATTCATACATATGTGTATGTGTACAAATACTTTCTTCGTATCCATCAATATATAATTTTATGCCCAATCGAAAACATTGTCGCATATGTGAAAATAGTTTGGTAGCAGGATTTCATATATCTTGCATCAAATTTATTGTTTACTTGCGATCTACTGTTGATGATATTAGATTGCACTCGAAATCTGCTCACATAGATTTGGCCATATGTATATAGTAATATCGAAATACGAATAATAATAAATAATAAAAGAAAAAAAGTCACGTATACGAACATTAACGTCTATATTAACATTATTCTTTGCAGGAAAAGAAAATAAAGTGTATTGGTGGTGACTCTACACAAAAAATGATCTCCAATATACTCACATATTGCATAACATTTGATGTAGGACACAAGTTGACTTGGACTGGTGCAAAAAATACTATCGCAATCGAAAATACAACTTTTGCAAACATTATAGTTAGTACGTATATTTTAACAATTACAAATAAACTATATATATATATATGTCTCTTAATTTTTCCAAATGTTAAATTCTCTTTTATATCATTTTCAAATATAGATACAAAAAATACTTTTAAACATTAGTGATATGTAAGGACTATAACTTGTCATAATGTTTAGAGTACTATTATTTTTGTTTATATAAATAGATATGAATTTTTCCAACCAGATATATCTACTAGTACTAAAAACATATAAATACTATCCACAGGTACTGTCAATCGTACAAAAGGAAATGGACCTGACTGTACCATTGCATTGATTGTCAAGCATGTAAAAAACTGGCTGCAACATGCAGGTGATAAAATGAGATATCGAAACAAAAAAGTGCAACAATAAATTACTCTGTAATTAGTATACAGAGTGCCCGATAATTCCGCTAAAAACCGCGATATGAAAATAGATTAAGTGAAACTGAAAAAACAATTCCTCTATGATTTTGCGAAGAACGACGTAAAATTGTGTTATTAATTAAAGAAATTAGCTAATGATCAATTAATTAATAATTCTATATTTTATGTGGTTCTTCGCAAAATGATATAGGAATTTTTTCTTCAGTTTCACCTAATCTACCTGTACATCGTGTTTCTAAAGCGAGTTACCGCACAGCCTGTATACTTAATAATAAGAAATTAATTAATTATATCTTGCATGGGCGTTGCCAGGAGGAGGCAGAGGAAGACGGTCCCCTAAACGTAGAAAAAAATTTATTTTTTTATACGAAGGCGCTGAAGTTTTTTTTTTATTTTTTACCGGCAATAAAGTGATAAAATTTATATAATTTTTTTGCATTGAATGCTTAAATTGAAAGAGGTGGCTTGTGTATGGTCTGCCTGAAAAAAAATTCTGGCTACGCCCATATCTTAACAAGCAAGTAACGTTTTAACGCAAACAATGTTGTTACGTTATATAATTTATATGAAAACATATTTTATTATAAAACAGTCAAATATAAAGTGTAATAATTATAATATTTAATATATAATTAATAATTATATATTAATAATTAATATATAATTTAATATAATTTTTATATAATAATTATAAATATAATAACTATATATATTTATAAATAAAAAAATATATACACAATATATATATGTATGTGTGTGTGTGTGTTGTAATGTTAATATAATCGTCAATAAATATAATATTAACGCAATGCTATTATTTGTTATTCATTTCTCAATATTTATGTTTTTTAAAATATATTGAAGACTTCTAAAAGATATTTGTTAGACATCTTTGAGATATGTGTAAAAGAAATCTTTTAGATGTCTTTTACATTTCTGCAAGATGTTTTTTAAGACATCTTTTAGATATTTAGAAGATATATAAAAGAAATCTTATTAGAGATCTTTTAATACTCTATAAGATGTCTTTTTACATTTCTGCAAGATGTCTTTAAGACTTCTTCAGGATTACTTAAGGATATCTTCAAGACATCTTTAGATATCTAAAAGATATCTCAAAATGTTGCGTAAGACATCTTTTAGATCCCTAAAAGAAATCTTTTGGGGAAAAAAGTAAGATATCTCAAGACATGGCGAGATATCTTTTAGAAATCTAAAAGACATCTTTTTGGCTATTTGGGTAGTTGCATTGACTGATTTCTTTAAAGTTTGTATGTATTTTTTTACTTTTAAAATAAAGAAACATTAGTACATTACGTACATATCGTATAAATTAATTGCACCGCCTATATGCATGCAAAAATATATTTTTTTATATTAACATACTGCAAGCAAAATGTCCGACGAAGCCACCTATTTCGTGCGCATTATTACATATTTAACTGCAATACTTCATTACTGTAAAAAAAAGTAAAAAAAAATTGGAAATCAGGCTGGACACGAACAGGCGACCTGCAGCTCCGTAGCGCTTCGCCTAGTATGCTTCGCCACCGCCGCTGCTTGGTCGCCCCTGGTCGCCCCACTACTGTAGCGGCACTTATGTACCGCGCAAAACTTTGAAGCGTTTTTTCTCAAAAACGCTTGAGAAGCGCACTCTATCCATTTAGCGTTTTTCATTGTTCCATGAGTACTACTTACCTGCGCAAGTACGGCGAAATCCGTTTCCCCATGAGTTTATATAGCCCTTGTTAGCTGGCTATGGTGCGTGCATGGTGGGGGAAATCAGAAAAGAGTTGTGGACATCGTAGTTCATGTGCACGGTTGTGCAGAGGGCGCCTCACACTGGGCACGGCTAAAAACGGCCCGTGACACCTCTTCTTCTTCTCTCTGGTATTATCAGAGAGTAACCTGAGACGAAAGCACATGTCTGTCCTGATACGCCCCCTGAGAAAATAGACGTCAACTAACTCAATGTCTCGGTAACGATACGAGGTTTATGTCTATGATTTGAGTCTGGTTAATGTCCGAGCTACTAAAACAGATTATAGTGAAAATGATATATATATATATATATTGTATATATATGTATATATATATATAAGAGAAGGATAACAATTGAATTGTTTTGACTTTGTCTCACCACTAGTGAACAGACACGCGACACAGGCACAAGTAATGCTGGAAATTCTTAGGCGAACGGTAGAGGCTTACCCCCACCACTCGGTTTTCTCTGTCTTCTCACGCGCTTGGCACACTGAGCGAGATTGAAATAGCCCGTTCATGCTCGCCTTGTCGCACTCTGAGCGAAACAGCTTACTAGCGGCTCCGCGACTCACGGTGGAAGGGAAAACGCGCAACGAAAGCCGCATACATGTGGCACATGTATTGGGTGAGTGCAAAAGTTTGTGCGGAGTTTGTGAGTAAAAGTCACACAGTGATTAGGCAAACAAAAATCTTTATTCAATCAATGATATATTCTCCATCGTTTTCTATAATCTTTTCCCAACGTTCTGGCAGCATACGGATGCCTCGATCATAAAAACTGCGCGGTTTAGATTCGAAGAACGAAGAGACGCCGTTTTTTAAGGCCTCCAAAGAGTCAAAGTTTTTTCCATTTAAATAATTTTGCAATGACCGGAACAAGTGATAGTCAGATGGTGCGATATCAGGAGAATACGGTGGATGCGTTAAGACATCCCATTTCAGGCTCTTCAGTTTGCGCAGCGTCTTTTTCGAAACGTGTGGTCTGGCGTTGTCGTGATGAAAGACGACTCCCTTGCGATTTGACAAAATCGGACGTTTCTCTTTTATTTCTCGATTCAGATTGGTTAATTGGCGACAGTACTTGTCCGAATCAATCGTTTCGCTAGCGGGGAGAAGCTCGAAATAGATTATGCCCTTGCAATCCCACCAAACAGAGAGCATCACCTTCATCGGGTGCAAACTGGCCTTTGGCATTGCGTCACCATGCTCACCTGATTGTTTCCATATCCGTTTGCGCTGAACATTGTTGTAGAGGACCCATTTCTCATCGCCCCAACTAGTCGATCCAAAAACGACTCGTTATTGAGCCGCCCGAGTAAAGAAACGGCTGCAGAAATTCGCTTGATTTTGTTCTTCTCGGTCAGCAAATGGGGCACCCATATATCGAGCTTCAAATCGAATCCCATCTTTTTTAAACGCCGAAAAGCGGTTGATCGGTCAACGTTTAGTGCTGTAGCAACTTCTTCTGTTGAAATTCGCGGATTATTGAGCACTAAAGTACGCAAAACATCGTCATCAATGTCAGAAGGTCGACCAGAGCGTGGCTCGTCTTCAAGGTTAAATTCTCCGCGTCGAAATTTAGCAAACCATTTTTCCACAGTTCGTTTAGCTGGTGCTTCATCCTGATAAACATCCTGAATGTTTTTTACGGCTGCGGCAACGTTTATTCCCTTCCGAAACTCGTAAAGCATAACATGCCGTAAATGCACCTTGTCGATACTCATTTTTAAAGTGATATTTCTCGAAGCAGTTTGTATGAAAACAAATGATTTTTTTTTTAATAACAGCTGAAGACGTCACCTTTCCAACGTTATATAATATGTAGATGGAAGTATTAATGACAACACTTTACGACGCTTATAACTCCATCTATTGAAACTCCGCACGAACCCAATATATATATATTATAAATGCGTTTTTATAACAAATATGTTTCATGAATTATTTCAGAGCGAGCTTAATACGATGACGACGACGACCGCCACAACGGTCACGACGCCCGCGACAGCCACGACGGCCACAATGGTGGTGTCTGAAAAAATTACCGGGGCGACATCGACGACGGCAGCGATGGCCACGACGGCGACCGAGCCAATAACGTTAACAGTAAGTATAAAAATCTACGAAGGCAGTCTGAAAAGTTCTCGGCGTAACAATGAAAGAAAATTTTTTTTGCCGTGAAATATATTTTATTTTTCAATATAATCTCCTAAAACTTCAATAGATTTATTCCAACGTTTATCCAATAATTCAATACCATCATTAAAATGTGATTCCGGAAGGTTCTTTTCGCTCTGGTGTATAGTGATGGATTCAAGTTTCATCAACAGTTATGAAACGACGCTTGAAATCCATTTTATTTTGCTTAAAACGTGCCAAACACGCTTGAGAAATACGCATTCGAATGCATTTTTGGTCAATTGTTAGCAAATGCGGCACCCATCTTGCACAAAGCTTTTTCAACTGGTGCTACTACTCGAATGACTTGACAGATCGAATAAAATTTTACATTTTATATCAGGGATGCCACTTTCCAATACAATTATAGTTTGACAGTTTCTAATGCTATGTATGTGTCAGGTCGAGAACTTTTCAGACTACCTACGTATATATGTCTAAAGCCCAGTTCCACAACTTCTGTATAACTACTGATTAAATGCCAATAGTGATTGTTTAATTCTGATTAATTCTTAACGTCAAATGCAGTTGGTCAAGTCTAGTGAAATAACCAGCTGGTTAAGTTAACTAGAAGTTGTGGAACTGGACCTAGACGCTAATCAATACCCAGTAAACATACATGTCTAAAAGACGTCTAAAAGATTTCTTTAAGACATTTTTTACACATACAAGTCTAAAAATTGTCTTAAAGAAAGCTTTTAGACGTCTTTTAGACATATATGTTTACTGAGTACATTATATTAAATTGTAACTTCTTATTTAACTTTTTACTTCATATTTTAATATTATCTTATTGTTACAGGCTGAAGCGTTACAAAATATTATACAAACAGCAGTAATAGCTGTTTTAGGAAAAGGAAGAGGAAGAGGAAGAGGGACAGGGAGAGAAAGAGGAAGAGGGACAGGGAGAGGAAGAGGAAGAGGTGGAAGCGAAGATGCAGGAAGAGGAAGAGGAAGAGGAGAATGGAGAGGAAGAGGAAGAGGAAGAGGAGAATCTTCTTTCATTTCTATCCTCTCCTCCACCCCCCTCCTCCTCCTCCTTTCTCTTCTTAGCATCTCCTAAATATGTTGTTCCGTCCTCACCCCCTCTAGCTCCTTCACCCACCACTCTCCTTGCTCCCTCTTCTTCTCCTCGCATATCTTCTTATATAATAATATATAATAATATATAATATATATATAATGTATAATATATGATAATATATAATATATATATAATATATAATATATAATAATAAGTACGTTCACTAAATTACGACAATATAAAGAAAATATATTACTTTTTCCAACCATGGAACTGTATAATACAATGTATAAGTGCGAATTATTATTTCGATCTAATGAAATGCATTTAGTCTTAAATAATTTAAATGTTACTGAGTTTATAGACAAATTGTTACACTTGTGTCCAAAAACTATTCTGGAGTGTCATAATATATTTTATAAACTTATAAAAAAATGTGTGATAACAAGAATTCACTTTTCATTGAAAAAAGATAACAGTACTATTACTTTAGTTCAGAGCTGGACACGATCTGCACATTTCGGGCGAAATTCAGTAAGTGACGCCTACCGTCCCCCTCGCACCGCTCCGCGCTCAGCGGCCGGGGTGACGATTGCGGTACACTCAGGCCCGTCGTTGTATAAG